ACATTGAAGAAGGGTTGCTTTACATCACTTTTTTTCGATGTTGTCCAGTCTCTTTTGACTTGTTCCATCCATTCATTTTTGTCTAGCTCAAAATGAAAGACAATGTATTAGTTTTCCTTTCCTAAACAATATTACCGAACTTTGAAAGTTCATATATTTCATGTTTCAGGCTAATATTATATATATATATATATATATATATATATATATATATATATATATATATATATATATATATATATATATATATATATATATCACTTTGTGGAAAGAAGTCTGGCCTTCTTTTCAGTAAAACGTCAAAGTTATGAAATCTTGAGTTCAACTCTGATCCTAAACACGAAGTAATCGATTGATGACGATTATGTAACTCCAGCAAAATATTATTAAATCTGTTATTTTCGTCACAGATTATCAATATATCATCCACAGGTCTTATATACAAATGAAATTTATAGATTACAGATCAATGAACAGCATTCTGTAGATTAACGGTAAAGCATTTTTCTGAACGAGAACATATTGGTAATCCCATTCTAATAACCATGTAATAGCCATCGTTAAGTCTGAAAGTACTCTCCAAGAAAAAGGTCAGAGATTACTAATTATTTATAGATACTAATAAATTAATTTTAATGATCTGAAACTACCACTGTAATGAATAAAACTACAATATTCAGAAATCAGTGACATATTTTCTAAAAGTTGTGTTAGACAATTCTTTTTATCAAAACATCAAATAATAATTAGTTTAAAATTAAATGAAACTTTAAATTATAAGTAACGACATGAGAAAAAGTTATCTATTCACAATTTCCTGTAACTACCTAACTACTTCATTTTTACACATACACTGCCCCCTCTCTCTCTCTCTCTTGGTTTAAATGTAAAACACTAACCTCCTATTTAATTAACATTTCAAAAATTTGATTATATATACATGTAATACAGCAATTAACTGTCAAAAAGAAACACTGGTTAACAGCTTTGTTAGATAATAAATCACGTAAATGATTATTGCCAAGTTAAATGAATGAATTTTCTGAAAAACGTGACTTTAAGATAAGTTGATAAGACGATGAAGGAAGTTCCTGTAGGGAAGGTTAAATAATAATAATAATGAGTAATATTCTTTATGTTGAAAAAAAAATAGTATCGACCTTGAAATACTTTAATATTAGAGAGGGAGATTTGGTAAATGATGTAGTATGAGACTTTTACAATCTTGTAGATATATTTACTTGTATAAAACTATTTCAGATTTAAATTCACTTGGTGTTGTTTTACTGGCATCTTCCCATTGTTATTTAGGACTCTGATTGATCTGCCTCATGTTGTCATATGTGCATCCTGTGTGGATTGCTTCAATATAGCTTTAAGTCTCAAGCTTTTTAAGCAGAGATGGATGGTGGCTAGAAGTGAAATCCAGCAGTCTTAAATGACAATGGGAAGATACAAGTAAAACAACACCAAGTAAATTTAAACTCCATCCCATTGCACAAGCAGCTGGCTATCAGGATTCAGTAGCAAAGTGGATAACGCGATGGCGTTTAAAGAGAATAGTACTGGGCTCGAGTTCCGGAGTGAGCATCAACTATGGGATGCAGGTAAATCTGGTTGACGAGCCTCAAATAGGACGAAACGCGCGTCCTGAATTCCACTATTAGCCACTATCCATCTTTTATTATTTCAGATTTATTTTAACTGAAATAAGCAAAATATCTATCTATTGATAAACAGTTGAAAACTTCATTTATCTTAATTCTTTAAAAATATTAGGTAAACCTTTGTACAACAGGATTACTTTTACGTCATTCTCTATGCAATAACATGATCGTGATAAGTTCATTTTTAGTTATTTCCATCAATTTTATTTGACATCTTCAAAATATTAACACTTATTCATATATTGTTTTATAAATATGAATATGTTACTTTATGAAAAAGCGTCAAAGTTACCTATATGCCATAAATAATTATTCACGAAATCGTAAACCTATTTGCCAATATATTAGACTGTATTAATTCCCTAAATTCATTGACTCAATCAGTTCCTTCCTAAACTGACAATAACAAAATTTGACAAGCAATAAACCCTGAGATTTTTAAAATGTCCAAGAGTCAGTACTCACCATATAGTTCGTGTTATTTAATTTATTAGTGTCTAAATAGTAACTAAGATAGCCATGATAGACGTAAACATTCACAATACAAAGTTCACCATTACAATCTTTGATAAAAAAACATTTAGTAGAAGTAATGGACTCGAATTATATCTGCAAATTCAAACAGTTTCAATTTTCAAGAGAACGAATGCTGATTATATCTCTGTGCAAATATAGAATCAGTTAAATAATCCCAAAGTCTATTACTGTTAGCAGTATATTACAACTTTCCACAAGAAAGTAATTTAAATAAACATACTAAAAATTTTTAAGTTAACCCATCGAAAATGTCGATTTTCACTTGTCTAATCATATCTCATAATTATGAGATATCACCTGTTTTGATAGTCATTATGATAAAAGTAGGCCATAAGGACGAACTCATCAGAATGGATAAGGTGACTTTTAAGTTTTTGGAGTATTTTCGATATCTTCTAACATGATTGTTAATAATTTTATTGTCTTGATTCTACAACTAAAAAGTATGGAAATGTCCAGATACCTGATAAACATTTAAATGATGTAATGAGCCTCTTAGCGAAGTAAAATTTGTAAGGACGGCCTCCGGGCTAACTCAAGGAAGCTCTAGGAAGCTCAGAAAGAGCCAAAGACATTCCATTCAATCATCTTTTGGAAGGACATTCTAAAATCTCGACGTGTAGCTTCCCGATTGGACAAATGATAGAAAGCACTGCATGAGGATTGGATGACTGCAATGGTGATTTCATTTTTACTAATAACTATAAATACCTGTGTGTTTTGTACAATATTTGACACTGTTTGGAATAACATTTCTTTTCACTCGTCGACTGTTTCCTCACTTGTGAAATTGAGGGTTCTAGCGTTCGAATGCTCAAGTTGTACACTGTATAACAAGAATCTAAGCTCTATATATAACGAAATTACTTGTTAGTTTCTTTTGAAAACTGAAATATTCAAATCAAGATTTGCGATCTCAATATCATCAATGTCATCAAGTAAAATGATTTATCGCTTTACAACATAATGATGGTAGTTATAGTTAAATGCATATCTTTAGCATCAACCAGCCTTTTTTATCGATTCAAAGTTCAGATAGCTTAACTATTGAAAGGTTGTTGAATTTACTTTTAATTCAACTTAACAATAATCTATCGAGACTGTGTTAGCCACTAATTATTTCATATATTTCCTTTTTGTGAAATACATGTATAACTGGTAGAAAGAAATGTACGTACCATTTATTTTATTAAATTCTTCTCTATTCGGTGAATTCATTCATTAAAGTTTTACAATCGTATTTATAGTTGTTTTACATGTATGAGTTGATAATCGAATAGAAAGCTGTCTCTTTTTTAAAAAAGAATAAAAATTAATTAATAACTAAGGTTTCAAACATCTCGTCAACTCTATTCATATAGTCATATCTCTCAAAATTATTTATAAAGTTAAATGAACCACCGAATATGGATCAGAAACTTGTACATAATAAAAGGTTTGAAAAGTTCATCAATTCTAACTTGAATTCTATCAATCAAAAAGAAATCTTCTACCCTTCAATTTAAAATTATCTTAATTACCCCTTCTATGCTGTTAATATAACATGTTCATATTTTCATTATTATCTTCAACAAGTGGACAATTAACTTTCACACTCATTTAAATTACTTTCAGACTATTACATAACTTCTGTTTGATACATGAAATTTCTGATTACTTTGTTAATGTTACAATACATATCTATTCCTAGATTAAAATGTATCAAATAACTATCATTAATGGATGACATCAACGGAAAGATATAATGTTCTTTACTGAAATTTATGATTATGTAATAAATGTAAATTAACTTAATTGAACTCAGTATAATTTCACTCTAATCATTTACAATTGAATATTGATTATCACTATCATAAGTTATTTGTAAATGTAACATCGGTTTATTTTATTTACATCATTATGACGTTTATACTTATCAATATTCATTTAACTTTTTTTTTTTTTAATTTTTCAGAAAAGGTCATAGGTGACAATTATTGTTACTTGAAAACAAATTTAACAATGTTAACATTATACAGAAACAATAATCACTTTGATATTGATGATACAAAAAAATTTTCACATTCGACTGTTAACCCGTATCTTTCTTTTTTTTCATTATTATCGATAAAATAAATCATATTAATTTTTAGTTTCTAACAGAATTAATTGTTTTTCTTTGTTTATCAATATTAACAATGCGTTTCCATTTAGTTAAATCAAAATTGAGATGATGGAGAATAAATTTAAAACAAAAAAACAACAACTATAGCAGAAATACGTTGGATTTTCTTCAGTTGTTTACATCTTAGAAACAATAGTAATAATTATTTATAACCAATGTTACTTACTTACTTACTTACGCCTGTTACTCCTCGTGAAGTAGCATAGGCCACTCACCATCATTCGCCATCCGACCCTGTCCTGGGCAATCCTTTCCAGCTCCTTCCATTTGTTATTCATCTTTTTCATATCTGCTTCTATTTCCCGATGTAATGTGTTCTTAGGCCTTCCTCTTTTCCGTTTCCCTTCAGGATTTCAAGTTAGTGCTTGTCTCGTGATGCAGTTTGACGATTTGCGTAATGTATGTCCTATCCATTTCCATAATCTTTTCCTAATTTCCTCTTCAGCTGGAAGTTGGTTTGTTCTCTCCCAAAGAAGGCTATTGTTGATGGTATCCGGCTAATGGATGTTGAGTATCTTGGGTAGACAGCTATTTATAAATACTTGTACTTTCTTGATTGTGGTTGTTGTAGTTCTCCAAGTTTCGTTTCCATACAGTAGAACTGACTTGATGTTGGTATTGAAGATTCACACTTTGATATTGGTTGAAAGTTGTCTTGAGTTCCATATGTTCTCTAACTGTAGGAATGCTGTCCTTACTTTGCCAATCCTTGCCTTTACGTCTGCATCTGAACCTCCTTGTTCATCGATGATGCTTCCTAGGTATGTGAAGGACTCTACATTTTCCAGAGTTTCGCCATCAAGAGTGATTGGATTGTTGTTTTCTGCTTTAAATTTGAGGACTTTGGTTTTCCCTTTGTGTATGCTGAGGCCTACTGATGCAGAGACTGCTGTTACACTGGCTGTCTTCATCTGCATCTGTTCGTGTGTACGTGATAGGAGGGCTAGGTCATCTGCGAAGTCCAAATCGTCTAATTGATTTCGAGCTGTCCATTGAATTCCGTGTTTTCCTTCAGATGTCGAGGTCTTCATAATCCAGTCGACCACCAGAAGAAAGAGGAAGGGAGAGAGTAAACAGCCTTGTCTGACTCCGGTCCTTACTTGGAATGCATCTGTCAGCTGTCCTCCATGCACGACTTTGCACTGTGGTCCGTCGTATGAGTTCTGGATAATGTTGACAATCTTCTCAGGAACTCCGTAGCTTATTAAAATAACAGTAATGGTTATGAAAAGATCACAACGTGGTAAAGTATATGAATATTGATACGTTACTAAATGTAATAAGAATCCACGAAATAAATTCACCTTATTTTCCGTATAGGGTTGTTGAGATTGTTGAGTTTTTATTGAAATCATGAATCGATAAATGTTGAACCGCCGTTGAAAAAGTAAATGCACTGGATGGCCATTTTGTCCTAGTATGGGACTCCTTGGCAGTGCACATCAATAATCCTGCACGTAGGAATCGAACTCGGGACCTTCAGTCTCACATACGAACTTCTAACCTTAAGGCGACTGACACGATGTCCAACGGTGTACAAGTCTAATTTCAATCAATCCATGATATCGTGCGCCTATCTTCCATTGTCCTCAGTGTTTAACTACCTCACGCACAACTTTATTTTACTAGGTTTCTTTTTCTAGTTTTAGTCAAACTTCTGATAAAGACTCTATGAAATTAGAATAAATTAGAACAAATTCAAAGATGCGGAAAATTATAATCAAATTCTATTATTTATCTCCTTTTCTTGAATACAACTAAAAAGTTAGATTTTTTAGAAGTGGTAGATTGTAACTGGCAGTAGAATTTAAGATGCACGTTATGACTTATTTAGGACCCAACAGTTGAGTGTACTTGGATCCTAAAGTTAGTGCGCATATTAGGAACCGAACCCAGTAATTCTATTTCGAGAGATCAAAGTTTAATCTATAGAGCTATTGAGTTCAAACGAAAAGTACTGGGTCGTGATGTGAACATCGACTTCGGGGTGCAGGTACATTCACATGACAATGCCCATATAGGGAAAAAAGCGTCCTGGATTCCAGTGATCGCCACGATCCATCCATTCTGAAAAACTTGTGAACTTATACATAACTGTTTAATCGTAAAGATATCACTTGAGATTTTTTATGAAATAATACCTTCCATTAGTGATTTACCAATAACAAAAGAAACTTACTGTGTCACTGACCAATTACAAATGGTTCAAGTTAAAAATATTGATACTGATTTTCAGAATTTTTAGTGACAAGTCAAAAATTACAAGATCAAACATTCTAGGGATGTGACAATAGCTAGAAATGTAGACGATTTATTTTTGATTCAGTAATTTAAATGCTGGACGTTGGATTCAGTTGTACACAGAAGTGGTAGATACGTGCTTCTGAGGAATGCTAAAAACAAATGAAGTAACTACTTAAAGTGTTCCTTCGTTTTCAATGACTCCCCAAATAAGGTCAGTCTATGAAATAAACCATCGTTTAATTTATCTGACCTCTAAGAACCTGTTTTAACAATTCCCTACTGTTTCTTCAAAGATGATCGCTCTATTGTCTGGGAAATAATATAGTTTACCTCATAAATTCACAGCACCTGAAGAAATATTTTAAACCATAAAGTATCGGACAGCCCTTCTAGCTTGCCAATCCTTAAAAGTGAGCATCTATGACTTCACATTCAATAAATTTATTGTCTTACTTTTATTTAATTTGGTAATCAAAATTATTTTAAAAGAAAAATAAGTCTTCAACTCATTTTATGTAGGGAAAGACTTGCCAAAAAAGAAATTACAACATTATCCTATCTCTTAAATGTCTTGTTTACTTTCTATTCTCTTCACAAATACATATCCATTGTATGTTAACCTGTCACATATTTTTATTTGAAATAAGCTAATTAGTTAACAGGTTTGTGATTTATTCTATTTTTACCTCTGATTATTTTTAGGAAACCACCCTATACTTTGTTATCCTCATTGCCCTAGTACTTATTGTTCTATCTTTTTTCTTGCTATTGTTGTCTCAAAATGTCATTTATATTTAGTTTTATTCAGCTCAGTAATTATTTATCTCCTCAAAATCCCAATATTAGTAGTTACTATGTTGGATTTAGTAACTAACTTCTACAGGTAACTCCAGGAGTTCTAGAGAGAAGTTGTGACTGGTAGAGTTCAACCATGTTGGGTATAAGATGGTTATTGATTGCAAGCAACATAAAATGATGAATCGGTATCGCTAACTAGTTGAAGTTGAATATGTACACCACCGGAGACTGGCTTGATGTTCGAAAGGGTGAGCGCTTGAACACTAGGCCAGAGATCCTGGTCTCGATTACCTATAGCGGGGTTGTGGAGGCACAATGTCAAGAAACCCTAAATTAAGAAAAACCAGCTATTCAATACTTCTTGGTCTTCAATACTCATCTAAGTTTAATCATAAACGCAAACTATGAAAATTTAGCTATCTACAGAAAAACCCTATACCAAATAATTATCTATTCAAACGCTCTTCAATTCTATTATATCCGTATACATTTCTTTCTTTCAATAACTCAATTAATTATGGTTTCCTTTATATCTGTTTTCATTACAGATAATAGTAAGCAATAAAATATACCAGGTGTAAATTGAAGAGTGTACAATGATAGGAGTAAATATCAATTAAGTTTATTTCTGATGTTATTGTAAACAGTGGATTCAATGCCTTATTTATTTTTAGTTTTTAATGAATTAGACAAACTTATAACAGTAACAATCATTAATGTTGTTTTCTACAAATAATTATCCACTTAGAAATAAAAATGATATATCATTGTTATCTAGTTGTATAGAAGCGTTTATTATTGTTCATTGTTTAGATGTGCATTTCAATTTATACTTAATAGTCAATAATACAATGAAAAACTTGTATTAATAAACTGACAAAGGGAGAAAATAACTTACTGGTGAAATGAGTTTATAGATCTGAATTTGATTTTCAATTCTTTTTGTCAATCATGTAAATTAAAGAACAATTAATAGACAGTAGTATTAATAATTGATATAAGGGTGAAAGTAGCCAGTGTAACACCAACCTCTGCAGTAGCTGACCTCAATATACACAAAGGAAAAACTAAGATCCTCAAACACAACACAGAGGGCACCAACCTAATCACACATGATGGAGAAGCACTGGAAGAGGTGAAAAATTTTAAGTGACTGGACAGCATCATTGATAAATAAGGAGGTTCTGGAGTAGATGTGAAGAAAGGCACGGATTGGCAAAGCAAGTCCAGCACTCATACAACTAAAGAACATATGGAACTCAAAACAACCGTCACCCAACACTAAAATCAGAATTTTCGATACAAACTTCAAGATATCTCTACTGAAACGAGGAGTAACTTGGAGAACTACTACAACCATCATCCAAAAAGTTACAGGAATTTATAAACAGTCGTTCACACAAGATACTGCAGATCCGTTAGACAGATATCATCAGCAACAACCTACTGTGACAGAAAACAAACCACCTGAACAGGAAATTGGGAAAAGAGGCTTGAGGTGAATAGGTCACACTTTAGAGAAGCCATCGAAGTGTATCACAGAGCACTCCCTAACCGGGAATCTTTGAAGCAAGACGAACGGTGACAGACCGAAGAAGAGATTGGGCTGGTAATTAGAAGCAGACATGGAAAAAATGAGGTGAGATTATAGTTTATGGACGATTTCTGAGCGACGCTATAATGGCCTTGAGAGTGCCTACCTACTTAATAGGGCTAAATGAGGATTATAAACCATTTTGAAGAATAAGGATGATGATTTACAGTTGATGGTTAGGGCTAGGAATTAGTTTTAGAGTTTTCATCACGAGCTGACATCAACTATAACGCCATGATTTCATTTAGCCAAGTGAGTAAATTAATTTCGCGCCAAACTCTCAGACCTGTTATCGTAAATCTGATTAGTTCGCCCATAAAATATAGTCTCTCCAGAGAATGAATAGCAGTTGGGGACGCCTGGAAAGCAGAACCTGAGACAAAGTAGTTTGTAGAATCCTGGTTGGCAGCTTATGCTTCACAAGGAGGAATAGGCTAAAGTGAAAAGTAGGTATGTCAATAGAAATTACTGAAATGTCCAAACTGGTATGAAATCTAGTTTTAAGGCTTACCGTCAATCACTTTCAACCACCCAACATTCCAAGACAGTCCAAGCCGATACCGAGTCTCTAAAACTAGTGGGCACATTTCAACTGTACATTTTAGATAATAGGTCAGTGACAAGTACTTGTATGTCAATGAAACAAGCAGAGAATGAAGATTTACTGAGATCACCATAAAAACTGAATTAAAGTTTAATCGGTTTTTCCCTTTTTTGTTTAAAAGAAAAGAGAATAAACATATGGAATATTGAAATTTCGGGGGAAACATCAATTAATACTCATGAATTATAACCATAAGCACTCAGAAATTTTGTAAATAGTGTAACAGTAAACCCGGACAATTGATAGTGTTTCGATAAATATACTTTACCTACAGAAGTAAACTAAGATTTTAACTGATCATTTACTGAGCGTAATTTACTAAACTATTACAAATGGATGAATTTACAACTTTCACAAAATTGATCCCCTTTGTCATAATATATATGGTGTATATTTCATGTATATACGTCATCATTAAGTTATACATCATGAATGAAGTCCAATGCTACATTACAATTAATGAACTTTATTGAAAAGCAAATAACCAGAGTTTTCCCTTGTTTCCTTTAGAAAAAAAACAAATTTTTGATATAGGTTGCTGTAATTCAGGAAACTATTACCCTTAGTCAAACTATTTAAACTAAGATATTATTTTCTATGCTGTATTCTTCAAAGACTTGCTTCAATTTGGGTGCCAGTAAAAATTAGAAAACACTGAACATCAGTTGTATCCTAATAAGAGACTCCCCATAAGTGAGCATCCAAAACCCATCCCCTTTCAAGTACTGAACACAGAACCCTAAGATCATTCGATGGATGAATAACCTTTATAATCATTAAGTACAATTTCTAATTCAATCAATTTTTAATAAAATACCTTATTTCAACATAAATAATCACTTTTGTTGGTTTAAATAATACAATCAAGATATAATCTTAGAGTGCATTTAATAATATCAAAGTATAAACTCGATTGTCATCATCGACTTCTTTTAAAAACGTTCCTTATTACGGATTGATTAAAATGCATATTAATCTAGAGCCTATATATAATTCTATCGAGCAGCCCACTCACATCAATGTCATGACTAACTTCTCAACTAGTTTGATTATGAAAGATATTTCTTATTTGAATTCTAATTTTATAAATTTCCCTGATACCAAATAAAAGATCA